CGGGCTCAAGGACTTGGAGCAGAAGTTGGAGCAGAAGTTGGACAGTCCCCTGTCAACCACAGGACTAGTGTACCAATTGCCACTTTCCCCCTTGGCACGCTCCTGTAGAAGTGTCTGTGATATTGTTTATTTCTAAAGAGTCTACCTTTTACTTGCATGAGGAAGCTTGTGTCTGATTGAAGTGAAGGTCCTCCTGCCTTGAACTACATTAAGGCTACTTCTAAGCTCCTGTGGTTGGTCTACTGGGGAAGTGGCATACTTTAGGGGCAATTATGGGCAGGGATGGAGTACAGCTGTAGCAGAGGCAGTTACAAGAATATGATCTGCCCTAGCCTAATTGGTGCAATAAATAATACTAAGAGTTTCAACAAGGTATCACAAAGAGGCAACACCATTTGGGGGCTGTGACGTTCCTCGGAATGCTGGCAAGTATGCTACATTACCTCTTGAAACTTTGCATTCTGCCTCTGCACATTCTGCAGAACATCTTCTATTACATTAGCCTCTTAAAAGATGTGAATATGTGAACGTGAGCGTGTAGGTCTGCTGCAAAGAAAGAGTTGCAGCTGCTCTCATGAATGGTTTGAAAACCCTTTTTCCATTATCTCTGCTGCTGACAATTGATCTCTACAATGGATCTGGGTGGAGACAAGAGTTGGTAAAGGTGGAATGAAGAAAGAAGCATTTTTGTCACACAAATTCTTGATGTCATAAAGATTGGAAAGTCATTAATAAGCTAAGCCTCTTTACCACCTAGATCCATTTCAGTGGCAATATATTAATGCAACTTCTACAGGAGTAGTTTAACCAGATTTCCTACAGACTCCTAACTCAGGTTTGCTGCTGATCCTCTTCCTTTGCCCAGGACTGGATAGATAGAAGTTAATTCACACAAAATTATCTTTGCTACATTAATGAAACTTAAAAATATTTATCACCTATTACCTAAAGAACAATATCTAAATATCAGCGTGAAAAGTACAAGGAATTTATGTAGACTTGGCAGAAGTTTCTGCATAAAAGCACAAAAAGCACATGTTTTGGGAAAGAAAAAACTATTCTGGGATAATGTAAAAGGCAATTAATTGAATAGCTAAGTTCTTATAAGAAATAAGTATGGTAACAGAGTAATTCTGCACACCATGGTATAACAACTGTGTTGTGAAATGGGGAGAGATTGAAAAACCCACTCTGGAACAGAAATCATGCTTGTGGAAAGACCATATTTTCAGAAGAACCTTTTTTTTACTGATAGGAGCTAAATTACAGTGTTTGGGTGGTATCTGAATCTTGGACTCATCTGATCCAAAGCTCTTCCTCTAACCAAAGGAAGTATTTTTCTGCCTGTTGGAACCATTCATCTTTTAAATGGTTCATTAGAGCAAAAATGTGTGCAGTAGGGAAACCACCTCCTCTTGGTTGCATTTGAGGTAACAGGGCTTTGGAAGTGAGGAATCGTGTACTATTTAATTCCCTCCCCACTTCTTTAAAAAAATGATGGTTCTCTAATACATTCTTCTGCATCAAATCTTGAAAATAGGATGTTCTAACTTCTATTACAGTTCTTCAGTCAAAGAATTGTTCTAATGTAATCAGATGTTTTTACTCTGAATCTTGAAAGCAAAGTACAAACTCTGCAAGAAATTTCTGCTTTCAAGGGGAGGAAGAATGAATCCTTGTGGTCTTTTTCCCCCTCCTCTGGCATGGCATGACTATAGATAAGTAATATACTACAAAGAATGATTCATTTCTAAACATGGAGAAAAAACAGATTTTTGAGGAAGAAGACTTGGTGAACAAATGATGAATTCCATTTCCATATCCAAACTTAGCTTCACAACAGCTATACTGTGTGCCTTGTGGTGGGGTTTATAGACTATAGCCTACCTGGTTGTTCTGCATTGTTGCTTTCTTATCTATGTTAGCCTTTCAGTCTACAACATAAAGAAAACTTATGATCCTAAATGAACACGAGACATTGAACAGGTGCCTGAAAAATTGAGAAGCACAGAATACACAAACACACACACTGAAATCTACCTTGAACAGAACCAGCCTTAAGCTATTCTATTTGATTAGTATTTTGCCTTACCTTCTTGACCATGTGAGAGGTTTAGAGGTGTTGTTGTCACCATTTTTGTATCTCCCATCTTCACAAAGGGCAATCATGAAAAATAGCTTATATGGTTGTTTCCAAGGCCTGTCTACATAAGAGTATCTCCAATCACTCCAACAAAACAGTCTAGGAGAAATAGCCACGGTTGGGTACTAGGTAAGTTATCATGAAATGATACAAGGTACAGGTCTGCTAGGATTCTTCTGACGGCAATTGATCTGTACACTAGAAATGTTCCGTCCTCCAGTTGTAAGAAATGAGCAAAAATTTGGTAAGAGAACAGATCCATGTGGCTAAAGTTTAGTAATAGTGAATCACTTCCAGCAAAAAAAAAAGGCAAATTTCTTGTATTTCTTTGCCATGTACCGAAAGTATTTCTATCTTGTTTCCCTGGAGGTTATTTTCTTGGAATATTTTATACCAGTTTGTAATTCCATAATTTTCACTGTTTTTTCTGCTGAAAAACTCTGCTGTATTACTTCTCTAAGAGTCCCTTACACCAAATAAGTGTATTTTACATTAGCGTTCTTCAATATTGCCTCCCTGCTTCAACGACGCTCCAGTGTTCAGATACAGAAAGTGGCACAGGATCTTATGAAAGAGCACTGGCAAAGTAATGCTTCTGCTCAGGATGCCTCTTCTTTAGTGCTAATGGGCTCTTGGTGCTTGCCAAACTTCCTTCTCTGCCTGTTTTTTCCTCCCAATTTTAAAAATGAAATCCTGGTATGCCGTTAAACAAAACATCAGTCTCAAGTACAATCTAGATTTCCAATAGTGCCTCTTGGCCTCATGTACACTTCAGAATCCACAGGGGCTATAAGGTTATACAATACTTACAAAGTGATTTGCTTTTGTCAAGATTTTAATGGGAAAAGTCTTTTGAAGCTTCATTCGGTAATAACAGACTCAATGCACAGCATGAATACAGTAACAACCTTAGTAAAGCCGGTTGAGATCATATCTGGACTCTTCATCTAGTCAGAACAGCAAAGCTCCATGAGATGCTTCACCAACTCGAGGTAGAGGGACAGACCTCCATCAAGCAAGACTCTGAGAGGCATTCTGGATTATCTGCCTGCACTTGAAAGAATGCCTACCTGATCAAAATCAAAGGAGAAAAATAAGCTGAAGTAGTGGGAATGAAGGAACTTCAGTTTAGCTCCCTAGGGAGTGGGTATTTTGTGACTTTCCAGATTTACTACAGTGGACATTTTTAGAGTGTCTATAACATGACTGTAAATTTCAAAAATGCCTACTGACCTCAAAAAGTTTTGAGATACTTTGCATAATGGGAGTACATCAATGTAGCTTGAATTGACTTCATGCCATATTGTGGAAGCTAATTGGTTTGATTTCACATTAAGGATGTAATAGAGAAACAATATTTGTGAAAAGTAAAAAAAAATCTATGTGCTGGATGACAAAAGTGCATACTAGGTGCTTGTGTAATTTCATGTTTCCTTATAAAGGAACATTCATGCATAAACACAATTACTCCTTTTAATAGAAAACGTGGGTGTGCCAATACAATTATGGCCAAAACAGAGCTATTAAAAAATAAGAGGGAGCTTGGCATGCTTATGATTTTCAAATTCCTTTGTCAAAGTTTCCTACAGGCAACCATTTCAATATGCAATGAAGACTAAGCATCATTAAACTGAACATTGGCTGAAAAATTAAATGGAATGAGGTGAAACTCCTAGAGGAAGAAGTGGCCACTTAGAAGCCTGAACAGAAGCATTCCAATTGGGTGGAGAAAATATAGCTGGGGCCTGGCAACAGTTTTGTTGCAAAGAGACCAATTAAAGCCTGTAAGATTTAAATTTGAGAATTCCAATAGCAAGTATAGTAGTCCACCATCCATCTAGATAATTCTATTGTCAATCTGCTCTTCTAGATTCAATGATCTTTAATATTTGCCCAACATTTATTCTTCTGTCAAGAACTTTAATTTGGTCCCCTGAGGATTACAAAGATAAAAATTAGGGTAATGCATGTTTCAAAGATGATTTGGAAAAAATACTTAAAACCTTACATAAGCATAGCATCTCTGTTACCCATTAAAGAGACCAATGCAATGTGGTTCCTTCAACCTTTCTTTATAGAATATTTTTTATACAGTATCTTTATTCATTCTTGTGACCCTCTTAGCTAATTTCTCTTTGTCAACATATTTAAGTGTGATCTCCAGAAAAGGACACAGTGCTTTGGAATAAAATGGAACTATGGCAACTTGTTACTTGGAGACTATGCTTCTATTAATTCAGTCGGAGAATTACATTAGGTGTTTTTTGTTTCATTTTCTTTTTTAGCAATTGTTGACTTCAGCTTGTGATCAGTAAAGCTCCCCCTACTGTTCAGCATGGTCTAAACCGGGGGTGTCCAACCTTGGCAACTTTAAGACTTGTGGACTTCAACTCCCAGAATTCCTCAGCCAGCTTTCAGGGGTGTCCAACCTTGGCAACTTTAAGACTTGTGGACTTTGCTGGCTGAGGAATTCTGGGAGTTGAAGTCCATAAGTCTTAAAAGTTGCCAAGGTTGGACACCCCTGGTCTAAACTCTCTAGACAACAGAAATTATAACTGAGGACCACCTTAAACAACATGGATATTTATAAATTGGCCACTAGTGTGGATTAACATTTGACTCATCATTGAATAAACAACCTCAACACGCTTTTTCAGCAGAGATCAACACCTCTTTTAAATTTTTTATTCCTCTGTTAAAATAATAGCACTCTACTTAATCTGTTGAGTTGTCCATCAACATACTGCAAGAAATGCTAATTTAGCCCACTTATGCCCTATACAAATAAGATTGTCAACCAGTTCAAAAAGACTCATGTTCCATTAACCCATCCAAATCCAACAAAGAATGCAGTTTGTTATCTGGCCAATGTCTTTTATATTCAGGATTGGTCATCCACAAGGCTCATCTTCATAGGCAATGGCAATTCCCCGTCGTCCCACAATAGCTTTTTTTACTTCTGTTTGGCCCAGCTGTTGCTCCAATCCCCGCCAGCTGCGGGACTCCAAGAATGAAGCTAAGATACAAAAATATTTCCCCAACTTTATTTCCAAAGGCCACAAAAAATTAGAAATCATTAAAAACTAGTATACTGGTAGAGCATTATCTTTGAAAAACTGATTATATTGATAGAGCATTACCGTATTTACATTATGAATCACAAATATTGTGTGGGAGGACACTGGTTAGGCTATTAATCCTAGCTCTACCTCCATTAATTGCCCACCAGCAACCATGAATGGACTCAGGGAGGAGCGATGCAAGAAGTAGTTATTTTATCAGCCTCAATTTTTGAGATTCCACAATAATTATAACTCAAATAATTGATTAATCAAAAGAAAAGTACTAAGTGAGGAGGTTCTTTGCAACTGAAAGAGCATTACCCCCAAGCCACATACCTGCTGGGCTAATCTGACACACGGTCTGTAAATGATTGCGGCACATCACAGCTGTGCCAGAATTCGGCTCTGTATCTGGCATCAGGAATGGATCAACTGAGCGCAGCTGTCCAGTGATCAGTGAAATGCTAGGTTCAATGTTGGTCTTTTCTGGGAAAAGGACATGGTCACAAGCACCTGGAGATAAAAGAAAACAATACAGTAATAACTAAGTTTCATTACTTACAAATTGATACTCTATTATATATTCAAAGACTGAATCAAGCGTGCAAACCCTGATTAGAGTCTTTCCCAATTGAGTTTGGGGATACTAATGCCAATAAAGAATTTGTGGGTAACTCTGGCTGTAGTTGACCAAGAGCAGAATCGGACCAAACATCTTGATGGAATTCTATAAATTTCATATTTTTGAACTTATCATGAAAATGTCTATATCTGAAAAGAAACAATGAATACTCTTGGTTCCCAGGAGTGTATAAGATTCCTAACCTCTTTTTTTATGGCAATGGAAGCTCATGACTGACCATATTTACCCTCCAAAACAGCACCATGGCTTCTATTATTTTGAGGATGAAAACATAGAAACTAGAGTAACTTCTAAAATAGGATTAATGCTGTCCAAAAAACACCTCCCTACCTACTTCCCCATGCCATACACATACACACAAAATCAGCATTCAACTTGGAAAAGATAGTAACTTTGTTAACATCTGTTCTGACCCACGTCCTTTTCCAACAAATCAAACACAATCCAAAAGGAACAGAAACCTTGTAATGCTTTTACAAAATAATTAGCTGTGATAAGAACGAGCCTTGCCAAACTCTGCGAGGCTTGCCAAAAGATAACAGACAAGAAATAATTTGCAAAATAAAAATCTTCAAATACAAACTCAGGATACTGGAATGTCCACGAGGCTGGAGTTTCAAAACATCTTTGCCTTCTGCAAAGTACGTTCCTTTCACAGCTGGCTTTTATCTTCTTGAAGGAGGGGCCATTACCTTGCAGCCTTACTCTGGGAGTCGCCCATGCTGTTATAGCTGCTCTTTCCTACGAGCAATCCTGTGCACACGCGCACTTGGCACAGGCTCCTCAGGAACATCCTCATCACTGCTGCCAGCCCCCACAACCTCTGAAGGCAGCAGTCCACTCCCTAATAGTCCTGGGCCCTCATCTGAGTCCTCGCTCTCCTCAGCCATACACACCTGCTGCCAGCTAACCACAACAACATCAAGCTTTGTGGTATTACAATCTCTCCTCAAAGCTTTATGCCCCAAATGATCAAAAGTTCCCTGTATAAAGCACCCCGTGCTTCCAGAGGAAAGCTTAAAAGTACACAACTAAGCAAGTTTTTAATCAGTCAGAAATTAAGGGAATCGAAGGTCTCTTGAAAATGAACATTAAGCAACAACTCATTTTCTGAATAAGCTCATCTTCTGAATAAGCATCTGGTGTTACCTGGTAGAAGGTGGCGAAAATCTGTAACATAGCGGCCGGTCCAAGTCCGTGCTGGATTGCATGCTATTTCCAGCTCATAGGGCGTGATGAGGGGTCGATAGAAATCAGTGGAGTTAAGCAAGGAATTCTGTGGGCAAGCTACCAAAACAAAGATATCCACCTCTAGAAAGTTTGCCAGTTTTGCAGGATTAGGTTTGCCTACAGCCAGCGTATAGGCACGTTTTCCAGCACGGTGAATGATTTGGCGAAGATGATCCAGAACAGATAAGTAATCTTCTACTCCAAGAGTACCCACTACAATACCCACTACTTGAGCATCTCGCGCCCGTTCCACTAAATAAAGGCGTCGTCGCAGAGCCCGATTCACATCCAGTGTTTCGCATCGGCCTTGTCCTGTCCTAGGATCAAAAGAACTAAAGGGACACTGGTTCCAACTCAGCATGAAGTTTGTAAGTTCTGGTCCTTCAGAACCTATATAGAACATACTGTAATTTTCAAGACCATGATCTTCATCTATTATAAAGCGCCGTCCAAACTGCTGTATCATTCCAGAAATTGGATGGCTTGAATCAAGATTTGTTTTGCTATCCAACTGAGCAAAAACCACATTGGGATAAATTGGTTGCAGCTTAGAGGCCAGGTCATCTAAGAAGAAAGGAGGTATAGAGAAAAATCACCTTTGAGCAAATACAATTCAACCTAACATATTTGCATTGTTCTAAATATCTGGCAATCCTGTAACAACAGAGAAAAATCCTTCGATCAGACTAGGGACTGCAAGCAAAGCTAAAAGCTGGGTCAGCTGAGATACGTTAAGATTAATGAGAGTTATGAGGAAAACATGATCAAAGATGTTCTTTAAAGATATACTGTAACTAAGACTGGATCAGTCATTGTACTATTTCATTTAAAATTATTTGATTATTGATATTGTTCTCTTTAGAAATTAATAAAAGCTCTTGGCAGAGATTTTCAAGTCTTCCTCATTCTGTCCCTGGCGTGATTCAAATTGCAAAACTTTAAACAGCAATAACAGTAATGTATGTTGCATGGTTTTGATTTGAATTCTAGTAGCTTAGCTGTAAGAAACACTCAACAGATCCAAAGTCAGGATTGGCAGAATAGCAAATTTTTAAGACTAGAAATGAATGTGCTATTTCTATGGGAACTTCCCCATCATGGCCTGAAATATCTTGACTATCTATGTTCCTGTTCCAGCAGACCACCGCAGTGTATTTGTGTCCACACAACAATCTTTTAAGACTTACCAATGGCATGAAAATATGCAGATTCACTCAGTACAACCACATAGGCTTGACGATCAGGGTACAACTCCTGGAAGACTTCCATACATCGCATCACATCCAACTGTTCCTGGCCAAATATGTGTAATACTGGCAATTTGCGGCAAGGACTCAAGCAGGCAGGGCCATAGTGCACTATAGCCTCTGCACCCACATGCTCTGCTGCCACTTCATCTACACAACAGCTAAAGACAACAGGATTAGCCATAGAAATCCAAGGACACATTTCATTAAACAACAACCGGTCCCAGCACATAGAAAATTATTTTCTTTGTACTGAAAGTGGCCTCCCAGATAGTAGACTCCAGCTAGAATCAACCTAGAAACAGTCAATAATAAAAGATTGGGATTTATAACCCATAAAACCTTTCACTCCATTTCTGGGAAATGTAAATGAGAAACTTATAATTTCCTAATATTGCTCAACCAAAAAATTAGCCATCCATCAGGGCTACGGTTTCTCCAATTTTAGCAAAGAGATTTTCCCTTTTGGCCAGGCTTAGCAGATATCTTAGAGCTTGGTGGCATCTGCCCAATACAGGATCCATTATTTCAATATAAAAGACAGATGGTCATCTGGTCTGTTTAAACATCTCAAAGGAGAATCTTCCACTTCTAAAGCCACCTGTTCCACTATTGATTGTTTCACTACCCATGTCAATAGGATTTATTCCTGATATTTAACCTAAACATCTTTGTAGTTTAAGCATGTCAAACTTAATGTTGTCCAGTCCAACTCTAAAAACTTCTGTCTTGTCTTCTATGTGGTGGCTCTTCAGATACTAGTACATATCCCTGAAATATTATCCTCTCCATGTTAAGCATACCTGACATATCCAACCTTTCATCTTAAATGTTTCCTTCCCTCTTTCTCATCATCACCATAGTTCTTCTCTGGATATGGACCAGTATGTTGCTATGCTACCTAAAATAAGCACCCAGAACCAGATACAATATTCTAGGAGACTTCTTTACATCATCTATATAAAGAATTATGTATGTGTTTGTTTCTACCCCACACTTACATCTTTCTATCTTTGTATACATCTATACACCTAGAATGCAGAACAGTTACGTATGTTGCAATCTAGATCATGTGACTAAAACAGGAAAATGGAGAGGGCATAGAATGAAGCACCTTCCAACATTACAAGCCCTGCTCAGTTGCTTTTCCATAGGAACCTACTGGCTGATGGACAAAGTCCTCACCTCCTTTCATTGTTAACAGTCCACTGTGTAGGAAGGAATAAAAGTGTTGATGCAAACTTGCCCAACTATACTTAATTTTCATTTGCTGTGTTCACTGAAGTCTATCATAATTAAGTGCATATAAAATTCCTATTGGGGACTTCATGCTGTCTTTAAAATAGTTGACTTTTCCTATGACCTTACCTGCCATATGATGTGTCTCCCAGGACATACATCTTGGCACCAGTTGCTGTTTCCATCCTTGTAGCAACATCTGCTGAATCTGGCAAAAGTGTATCAGGAAACTGAAGAGCAATCTATGGCAAGATACCAAATTTACTCACAACATTTCCACTATAGATAGGTCAAACAAAATAAACGTGCATCTATTTACTCTCCCATCAATTTCTATCAGTATTTTATTGTAATTGTAATTGTATTGACTTTCTTGTAAGATGCAACAGAATACACCCAATTCCAGAGGAGAACTGGCATCTTTATGTCAGGTCACAAAAGAGCCCACCTTGGTGAAGCCATTGTCAGATACAAAAGCAGCTGCTCTCTCCAGTTCGTAAAATTCCTCTATCCCCAAAACTGGGGGACGACCCCCTACTTCTGTAGGAATCAGAGTCCGCTGAATCACCTCAGCTCCATCATTGTTGAATGCTGTTGCCATGATGATCTAAATCCAAAAGTCAACAAGTGAAATTATGCTCAACCATAAGGATAACCCAATTTTGGCTCCATAACACTGATACATACAAACTGAGAATGATTTTGAACTTATGATTTATATTGACTGTTTCCTAGTATGATTTGATTGCTGATTGTACCCTATGACTATCATTAAGTGTTGTATGTTATGATTCTTGATTCTTAATGAATGTATCTTTTATGTATACTGAGAGTATTTACACCAAGACAAATTCCTTGTGTGTCCAATTACACTTGGTCAATAAAGTATTCTATCGACCGACCGACCGACCGACCGACCGACCTATCTATCTATCTTCTGTGTAATACCTATAATACCGAATACAGTACCCTGATTCTTATCTTTGATGTGGCTCAGCAAGGAACTGATCGTAAAAATGCATGGCTTTCGCAAACTGATAGATTAAAGAAAGTTACAGTATAGATGACCAGTAACTTACCAAATGGCGCTTCCAAAGAGCAGCTACAATATATCAGCAATATTCCATAATTATTCCTTAATTAGCGGAAGGGGGTTTTAATACCCCCCCAACAGCAGCCCCATGGATCACGTTATCCACTTTCTTCCGGATGCCAACCGCAACCACCAATGATCATTATTCTGTAGAACGGCACGGTAACCCTTTGGCGTCAGTAGGGAAATTTTTCATCCAACAGCAAATCCCGACATAGAAAAGTCACCGGAAAAGCAAAAGGCTAAACCAGAGGCACTGTGGGGATTGTAGTTTCGCCCTCTTTAGAAATTAACCAATGGCACGATCCCAAGAGACTCGCGTAGCTCCTTGAATCCGGTCACATGGTGCTGGGGTCCGTCCGTCAGTTAGTCAGTCAGTCATTCACAGGGTCGGCTGATTCCTGGTCGGCTGCGGTCCGTGTCCAGGGCTTGTCTCCGCCATGTCCGGACTCGGGTTGCTGTATTCGGGACTGGGGCTGAGCGCGGCCGCCGCCATCGCCGGCATCGGTTAGTGATTGAAGTGACAGGCTCCAAGGTTGCTTGTTGGGAGGGCGCCCGCTCTCCTTGCCGGATTCTTACTTCTCCTTTCTTTATGTTGGGCGTCTGCAAGTTAGTGTGAGGTCGCTGGTCCTGGATCGGGGGCAACTAGATCGCAGGCGAGGCTAACCTGGCATCCCAGTCGCCTCTCCAAATGCCCGAGTGAGGAAAGGCTATGGTTCTGCAGCGCGGGGAGTAGGTGGGTGGGTATATGCGAATATCGGTCGAAAGGAATATTTGAACCCGTGTCCGGACCCGAACGTGGTTTATTTCTCTTCAACGCTTCTCCTTTGTCGACAGGAAGTGCTTTTTTTTTTGGCCTTTCCATCTCCTGCCATCCTTCTCATTTTAGTAACTGCTGACCCCGAAAAGATGTTTCCGTGTCTAATAATCCCAATTCATTTCTGGTTAAGTGAGAAATAGAGCTTTCTTACTTGGTTTGAGGTCTTGCCATTGAAATAATTCTGATGAATATCTCTGGGTGCCAAAGTGTATATAGCCGAATGAAAGACAACCATTAAGAAACCTCTGAAATACAAGTTCAGTTTTTGTATGCTGATTGATCAGTTTTAAATTAGATTTAATGGTAGATTGGAATCAGTAGAATTAGCACAAGTAACACAATCCAAGAGTGGCAGTTGCCCAAAACATTTTTTTTAAATTGTACTCCTATGTATCTCTCTTAGATAACCCATAGTCTCAGTTGTGTGGAAGTAAACATGCAATGGATGGCTGCTGCATTGCTGAACCCTAAAAAAAATTTCAGATTTTGTCTATTTAATGGAATATAATGTTCAATTAATCACTTCGCTAGTAGTTTTCCTGGCATATGTGCTGTTTGCTTTAAATTCATTGCCAAAGTTTGAATTTTGATCATTGTGATCAAAATGAGCTCTATACAAATGATTCTCAATATGGTCCACTCCTCTGACTGAAAATTGAAATCTACCTGGTGGTCGATCCCAGTTCCCCATCTTCATGATTAGAGTCTGCTCACCATCTTTCCATCTCCCAGACCCTGTTTATGCCATCTGTATCTCCCTGAATGCTACAGCAGTCAGCTGGCAGAAGCCCATTCATAGTCACAGCCTTAACTTCTCATGTGCTCAAAATCTGGTTCACAAGAATACATTAGTAGTTAAAAACTAGTTCACTGAAGTGTGCATGCAATAAAATCAGAAGCAACATGAGAACTAAAATTCAAAAAATTGAAAGATCTCAACAGCATTTACTGTGAGTCTATATGTGTTGTGCTGGACAGAACTATTATATGGTATTAGCAATGTGAAAACAAAGGTATGATTATGAAAATAAATGGTGAATATGGCTTTTCATTAGGCTAGAGAGATTGCCACTTGCCACCAGCACTTTAGTATTCAAAGATTTGTATTAACAAACATTCTTAACAAGTTTGGATTAAGTGTTATTACTCGAACATTGGGTATCTACAATAATTCAAATGGTAAATAAAATATAGGCAATAGGAAGGCATATGCAGATACAACTGGAGTCATTATCTTATGCTCTCATTATCAATAAGAATAAATATATGTGGTGAGGGCTTGTATAATTGAATAGGTCCTTCTTTTTAAACTTTTATTTTTTTAAAAAGCCCTTCTCTCTTGAGTTGTGCCAGATTTATCATTGATAAGCGATTCAGAATGAAGAAGGTTTTAAGTATTTTTCCCTTGCCAGAGAAATCTCTTGCATGTTTCCAGGCTTTAACAAGTCTTAGCTTCTGCAGGGGATTATCAAACACGTTATTGGAAAGCTGCTGTGTAACTTAATGGTATATATGTTCTGCTGTGTACCTGTGATTTCTTGGGATCTATTAATAATAGCATTGCTAGATGATGGGAAGTAAGTTTCTATTTGTATCACTGCTGTAATCCTATGCAAAGTGTACATAGTAAACTTCATTTAGTTTGTTTTGTCAACAGTCTTTGGAGCAGCTCACCTAGTAAGAATGATGAGCCTGCAATGAACCTGGGATCTTCAACTGCATTTGTTCGGCTGATGGGGTTCAGACTTGTTCAGTCAGGATTAAGAAATGATCAACCATAAACTCAAGTTTGACCTTCTAACTCAACTCTGTATTTCTTTAAGGTCATTTTAGCAAGTGGGAACAACTTATTTTGGAAATCAAAATTTCTTACTGGCTTTTGCCAGGAACATCACCCCCACTTAATATCCTACTCTGATTAACCTTGCTTCATTTCTGTCCTTGTAGAAGCCAAGATTTCCTCTCCTGCATGCATTTCTCTGGCTTCTTAGAGGGCAAGGGAAACTCTTAGTTCTGTTTTCTCATTTAGATGATTTGGATGGTTTAGGAATAATCATTTGTAGTATGATTTCCACTCCAGATCAAAGGGGACGTTAGCTTCCTCCTTTTTCAGTAAACTTGTGTCTTATAGTGGCTTCCTGTCTTCTTTCAATTTAGAAAATCCGTGCCCCTGAACTAAATCCTGTTCACCAAACTGGATGATTGATTAAGGAAGGGACATGATAGTCATAAAATTAAATTCTGTTCTTTGTTGGAGAAATTGGATCCAAATATGGAAATCCTTTCTATAGTGTATGTGGTTTGCAAAGGGAGAAATATGAAAAATCTTTAAATTTTTTAGCACTTCTCTATCAAGGTAGAATGTAGAAACATAGGGGTTTGTTCAGAAGGCATAGTATGCAACGGTAGCAAATAAACACTATAGTGTATTCAGTAAAATGTATTCATAATTCTGGCTGTTCCCTTGATGTTATATACAAGAATTGTATAGGGCAAGGGCAACTGTTGGTATAGAATACTTGGTTATGGCCTCTTAGTCATGAGGGAAAAATCTAGCTGTAGTCTTTGGGAGTGGAAATGTCCCATGTAATTTCCTCCCCTTTGAATGTTGACAGTTTCAACAATTACCAAGCTCTATCAGAATCGCATACATAGTATTCCATCCCATAAGTTGTCCGAACAAAGAGAGGCAAATGTTATGACATAGCCCCCATATACAGAGTTCTACCTGATGATTTCAAAAACTGATGTACTATATATAGTCATCTAAAGTGCAAAGCTCTGTAAGTTCAATTCCCAGTAGAAGTTTTAGCTCATGTAAAATAACTTTTGGTTACCTGAAAATAAGGAGACCCAGTAAGTAAGAACGAAACCAGTCATTTTGGTACCTCCTGGTAGTCAGTGTAACTGCTGACATCAAATTACTGTTCGATTCTTTGAGCCTACCAGTACAGTTAGTTTGGGTGGCTTAAGAGAAAAGTTTTCATCTAGCAATCAGCAAGAAAATAATTTTTTAAAACTCTAATTGGAAACTTTCTTTTTGCAACTTGCCTCATTCTTTCTTAATAACAGAAGAGAAATAATGTTCTCCAGTGTTCATATTTGTCCACAGGGTTTCATGTGATACATAAATATCAGGAAGCTGTTGTGCAACTCTGCCATGTATGCCTTGTTTCATTCCTGAGTCTTTTTATGCAAAGTTTATTTTACCTATTTAACATGCATGTGTTTTTTCAGTAAAGTTTTTTTGTGATTAATGATAGGGAGGTTTTTCCTCTCCTATAAAGTCTTTAAATGTATTACAATCTATTTTAGTAAGCTTCTTTGGGAGTTAGAAAGGCTCATATAACTTCTTGGGCATCCTCAGAGATGATTTACATTTTAGTCAAAATATAGCCAAAGAATTGTGCTGCATTCAAAGAAATGATACCGTTAGTTAAACAAAAAATGTGAACTATGAACATATATGAAATATGTGAAGAGAGGGCTTTGGAGTAGAATTGTGTCTTGCTAGTTTAGTGATATATTAGAAAAAATGCAAAAATCTTACAAAAGATCTTCAAAGAAACATCGATGTTTCCATTGTTGACTTAATTCGTGTAGGCTGTTGCAAATTTGCAACATAATGCAGATTAGATATTATAAACACATCTGATCAGAAAAATTAGACTGTGAAAGAAATTACTTGCTTCAGAAAATAGACACTGACCGATTTTGGGTTTTTGGGGATTTTTTTGTTAAAGAGAAATTTAATTCAGGGCTCCTTTGTCAAAATCCACTAGCAATTTTTAGTTTGAAAGTTCCAGGATTTTTTATGGTAGTTCAGATGATGTTTAGTAATTTAAATCTGATCATTGAAAGAAAAGGCTTTAGCACAATGTGTGATAGGACTGGCTATTTCTCAAACTGCTGACAACATAAACAGGTAGGAATAGTTTCTTTTACAATAGTTCCATACTACATCTTCTAAGTTCACTGAAGTGCTAATGACATAATTCGAAGTAGGGAAGCACCATTCCATATTTCTGCCCCAAATCTACATTTTTAATAACTACAAAAGAGCCTCTATTTATATTAGTTAACCATCAAGTGCAAAAACTATGCCTATACCTACTAGCCTCCATTTTATATCTATAGATTACAAGCTACTTGAAAGAAATAAATGTTGACCTCTGTTTTCCTGATAAATAAATACCTATTAAGATATATTTTAAATTTAGATGGCTAAATGTTTGCATGGTTTTGAACCTAAGACTGTCACATGGGAGAAGCTATACATCTTTAAAGGAGGTTTTGTTTATAGTAATATAACTGTGACCCTATCCTGCACAGTGACT